CCACTCAATCAAGCATATCTAATATCTTGATTAAGTTACATGCATTCATTCACTATGGATCATCCAAACGAACGAATCATGCAATTCTGAATCACAGTTGACCGGTTTAAGCAACGATTGCTCAAATCAGATCCCGAAACGAAAAACCAAATTTTGGTGAAGCCTCGGGACCCAGACCGATCGGTCTAGGCCTAGACCATTCAGTCTGGACCTGTCGGTCCAACCGACTTGCGAAACCCTACACCGATCGGTCCAGAGGACCAGACCGATCGGTCTAGGCAAAAACGTGATCAGATCTCGTTTTCGTCGTTTCTGCCCTGTTTCAGACTTGAATTCGACTCCGTTTTCGCCTGCGAACTCAGAATTCGAAGCTCTTGCACACTTGCAATGAACAGAAAATCTACAATAGATCCACAATCAAATCATGCATAGAATCAAAGCAAACACGGATTCAAACAATTCAAATCCTATAACGTGCGTGATCGGGTTCTAACAAAATCATGCAGAGCAACCAGGCTCTGATACCACTGTTGGGTTTCCTGGGATCTCAAGAGCGAATCTAATTCCTAAGAGATCAGTTCTAGGGTTTGCGCAGCGGATGTAAAACAAAAATTTTGATGAAACCCTAAAACCTATCATGCATGATCTTATAGAAACGTTAGAACGCTTACCTCAATAGATTCGGGGTCTGTATCAAATGATGTGTTCGTCCGATCACTGTAGGTAGGAAGAATACATTGCCCTCAACACGTATCCACACGGCAGAAAGGATTCCCACAATTTGAACTCGTCTGCTAGGGCTGAAGAACACGTTCTTCTTTGCGCAAGGATTTCAGGGATCTAACTCTTAGATTTTCAACTCTAAAAACCTGTCAATAGGGTCTGAAAATCGTGCCAAGAACATTAGGAGGCGTTCCTTAAAGTTAATCCCACTTAAAACCCTAATTAGAGCGAGTTTAGGAAATCCCGACGTTTGGACCGGTCGGTCTGGAGCTTATTTTACGTCTGGACCGATCGGTCTGGAATAATTTTCGGACCGAGTGACTTTCACGCATTACCTCTGGACCGACCAGTCCACGTGTCTGGACCGATCGGTCTGGGTTAGCTGGATCGATCGGTCTAGACCTTCTAGACCGGTCGGTCTGGCCTTTGCTCCACCGGGATTTTCTCATCTCTTCTCGCGCATTCGTCCTTTCCTGTGTGTGTGACCCTATAGGCTCATCCGAAATAGCAGTATAACCCGAAATCTTTTATTTCGGTTACACAAGTCATAGGCGGTCTCTAGCAAGACACTATGACTACCTATCTTGAATAGAGTTTGTTCGTGATCCTACGAACGCCGGTGATGATTCCGTTTGATGATCCTTTTGTATCACGATATCATATGTAGAATATAAGGCATGGAAAAGCCACCTTATCTGATTCGACTGCTTTCTCGTTCACTGAGTTCGACTGTCTAAAATAGACGACGTTCATCTATAGTGCGGCGACACATTTCTACAGTCTCGCTCACACGAGGGGCCCAGCGATATCTCTCTTTTACGAGAGGTACAAATCTCGTCTTGACTATCTACAATCCAACACATGATTCGTTTCGTACCTGATACATGCCTTTATAGTCCTGCTGTTACGCAGGACATTTGACGTATTTGTTGGTTTAGTGCTCTATGATGTACTGTTTATGAGCTTTATTTAGATACATTTGATGTATTGATACTTTCTATGGGTTTTATGAGAGTATTTGATTCATTACATGTTCTTGCATACTAGATCTGTTATGAAATCCGTGTATCATTAGGAATGATACTAAACTCCCTAGTCTTGTGTCGTTATGGGAATAACGACATAATAAGACTAGTATGATGTGTGATTGATGATCATAGAGTTGATCATAGGTATTGGATACAATCACAGTCATAGGTATTCGTTGGAGAACGAAATACTGGATTGACCCGCATGAGATTGTCACATGGACTAGCGTCATGACTTGAATCTCATATGGCGGTTCCATGATTGGATCCTAAGACCTGAGATATCTACGGAATCCAACATAAGGAGTTGCGTGCTTTGAATACGTCAAACGTTCTGCGTAACAGGAGAACTATAAAGGCGTGTATCAGGTACGAAACGAATCATGTGCTGGATTGTAGATAGTCAAGACGATATTTGTACCTCTCGTAAAAGAGAGAGATATCGATGGGCCCCTCGTGTGAGCGAGACTGTAGAAATGTGTGGCCGCACTATAGACGAACATCACCTATTTCAGACAGTCGAATTCAGTGAACGAGAAAGCAGTCGAATCAAATAAGGTGGCTTGTCCATGCCTTATGTTCGACATATGATATCGCGATACAAAAAGATCATCAACAGGAATCATCACTGGCGTTCGTATGATCACGAACAAACTCTATTCGAGATAGGTAGTCATAGTGTCTTGCTAGAGACCGCCTATGACTTGTATATCCGAAATAGAGATTTCGGATTATACTGCTATATCGAATGAGCCTACAAGGTCACACACGCAGGGAA